CATGAAAAGTGATGCCATGTCTTCTAAAGGCAGACTTCTGTCATGGTGCAGCAGCAACATGCATTTTTGTTTTTGTTTTTCAAAGAAGAAAGCAGGTTGTGGGGAAGAAATGTCAGTTCATAGAGTTGGAAGGAGTTAGAGAAAGGGTAGTGAATTAACTTAGCCCTTGCTGAGTATGAGTTATGTGTGGGTCATTCATGTGAAGATGAAGAGAAGGAAGGTAAATAGATGCTCTAGAGTTTACGGTACAGGGTAGGATTAGAGATATGGATTTGGGCATCTTTAGGGTAACTATGAAGTTAGGGGAATGGCTGAAATATGACAGGCTCACCAAAGAATTCTCCATATTGATTAATGTGACTAATAATAAATCTTTATTTTTTTTTCTAAAGGACTTCTATAAAAATATTCATAAATATTTATTAACAAATTGATTTGACATTGGGATGTACTTCAAAATAAGCCAATGGTAGAGGAGGGAACTAGGTGGGAGAAGAGATAAAATAGGCTTGGCCATTGAGAAAGTTCATTAATCTATTCTCTTCACTTTTGTATATGTTTCAAATTTTCCATAAGCCAACTTTAAAAACAATCCCTTTTTAAACAAATGGCCCTACAGCATGAAAATATCACATGTAAAAACTTGTTTATATAATACTCTGACTTAAAACCCCCATTCTTATTTAAAATGTTTATGCAATAAAATAAAATATTTGAAATTAACAGTAATTTGCACTTGGTTTATGTGATTCTTATTAAGTAAAAGTGCCAGAAGGGCTAAATCTATCAAATACATTTATATGTCAAAGTACTCCTTTTTAGCTAAGTTTTTCATTAACTATTTAATAACCACCTACTTCATATGCAAGGAAATATTATACATTATTTCATTGACATCACTTTCACGGCATATCTATATCTTATAAACTAAGGATGCACAGTATCAGAAAGTAATGAGGCAATTAAAAAAATATATATATATACACATTCTGCCCTGGCTGGTGTGGCTCAGTGGACTGAGTGCCGGCCTGCGAACCAAAGAGTCGCTGGTTCAGTTCCCAGACAGAGCACATGCCTGGGTTTTGAGCTAGGTTCCCAGTAGGGGGCATGCTCCTTCTCCCTCCCTTCTCCTCTCTTTAAAAATATATATATATTCTGCATATCAGATTTTTAGAATTTCCCTTAATTCAGCCTGGCTCTCCTCTTCTCCAGATTTCTGAAGTTTACCACCTTTTTGTCAATGTCCTGTCATCTTGACCACTTTCAATGAGTGAAAAATAACATGCACGTTTTATTTCATGTTTTTGATAAACATAAGCAGACGCTGTGGTGCCATTTGGAGCAATGGAGCACCCTAGTGGTCTAAACAAGACAATGAAGCTCCCCTTTCTTTTGAATCGGGTCTCATAATTTTTCAAACTAGGCAACTAGAAATAATTAGCATAATAATATTAACCATGTTATAGATGGAACACATTTTGTGAATGAATGGGATAATTGTACCTAGAAAGGCATAGATAATTAAACAATTAGTCATTCTTAATTTTAAGGGCCAAGTGGTTTCCATATGGTATTCCAAAATTATGTATATACACCCATGCACTATAAAGTACGTGTTTGGCATTTCACAGTTAGTGGAACAGTAGTGTCCCTCCAAACTATGACTTTTAACTTACTGCTCCTTAGGTGAGCAAATATTAATTTTAAAATCTTATTTTCCTTTTTTCCCCCTGCAATCTAGTCCTAGGCACCATTGTGTGTGTAGCTAAGAGAATAGCCACTGGCAAGAGAATCACTGTGTTCAGGTTAGTCTGTCTTTCCTGAGCTGACTTGGAGAAAGTGGATTAATTTCTCCGTGACTTAGTTTCCCCATCTGTAAAATGGAGATAATTATAGCAGATACCTTTAGTCTTGTGAGTTAAACAGGTTGTTAAAATAATGCCTGGAATACAGTAAACTGCTAATATTATTCCTCTCAGGGTGCAGTCACATCTTTTATCTGCGCAATCACATTTTGTCTATATGTACATCCTGGACCCTTATAGTTACTGTGACTTTGTATAGCATACATGGAATATCCAAGAGTCTATAGAAAATAAACTGTTTTAGGAGCATAATAATATTTATGAAATCTTACACTTGAGTTTATGGAATACTGATGGAACAGAATTATACACTGAAGGATCCCATATCTTATACACAACCCACCTATTTTTTATTTTAAGTGGAAATATCTATAGCAGGATAATAATGAGCAGTTTAATGTCCTCAAGGTCACTTTCCAAAGACGTAAAGGGAATATTCTGAACTCTTCCTCAAAATTTGCAAAAAAATTTCCCCATATCACAACTGTATAAGAAATGAGCTGTAATTAATTTAGGTGCCTTGAGGTTGAATTAGCCACCCACTTGGTGATTTGGTAAGAAAGCTATTTCAAGTGAAAATAAGAATATCTTTAAATATAAAGCAGGTAAGGTAGAAGATTTAAAATCTTAAAGGAAAGAAATCTCAAGATTCAGTAAGTCATTAATAATAGCCATTCAATTCATTCAGAGGAGAATGTATTACTGACTTCAGGATCCAATTGTGTAAACATTAATAATCATATAAGCGGCTCCAGTGATTAGTGAAAACATTGACTTTTTTCTTCTACCTCTTATCTTTAGCTCTCTTTATATTCTTAAAATTAAAAAAAAGCCTATAAACTTATTTCCCCTATCACAGACCATCATGAATCAAGAAGCACACAATAGTCAACAGTATCTTTGGGATTCCCATGATCTGGTGTGTGAGGGTGACCTAAGTCTCACATTGCTAAGCTTTCTGTTACTATAGCTACTGTGCTGGGACAATGGTTGCCAATTCATGTATTTATGAGAAAGTCATAAGTGGCTCAAACCAATCTTTTCAAATTAAAAGGTGATTTGTAAAAGCCCACAGTAGAAAAATAGATGTTTTATAATTTTAGAATTGAACTAACAATGTTGTACCTGAGGTTTTGATGTGTTCTCAAACACTGGTTAGTGGCCACCACAGGGCAATATAACTAGCCAATTCATGCACCATGCCCGGAGACCTCACTATAATTCTCACTAGTAAGTCCTGGATATAGGGGTTTCCAAATGATGAGGCCTGTATAGAAATCATTAACTTCACTTTCTTCAATAGAGCCAAGAAGAATTCACCCAATTCCCATCTATAGTAAAGTGAGGTTTATGAGGTTTTAGTAAACTTTTAGTTCTAAAAGCAAATGATAATTTATATGTTTAATGCTTTTTCTCTTAGATTCCAATTTGTTCCTTGGAATGAAACACACAACTTGTGAAATTCAAACATTCTCCTACTTACAAGGACAATTTCATTTATTAATGGCCTATAATTAAGAAGAAATTGTCAGCTAAACAAACAATTAGCTTGTCTAAAGGATAAATAGGAAGTAGGTTATTCATTCATTTACTAAATGTTCTTAGCCTTGACCTACATTTCATTTATTCAGATTGTTTTCTATATCTTCTAGAGTTTTTGTGTCTAAACTAATTTTCCTCATCAAAAATAAAAGCTAACATATTTATGTATTTTCTTTAGGAGAAAGAGCAGGTTAATGCACACACAGAATAAGTCAAAATTTTACTTCAAATACTACCACCTGACCCTAAGGAAGGTATTTAACCTCTTCACCTTGAAGTTTTGCATTTCTGTAAAGTGAGGATATTAATAGTTGCCACCTATCTCAGGTTAATGGCATCGCAACTCAAGAGACCTGTTATAATTTTTTTAAAGAAAAGATGTTTTATATTAATGCAATTCTTCTCCCTACTACAGATCATTGGCGAATATTTTGTATTTGAATAAAAGCCTTAAAATGTTGTTTTTGGAAGATAACTACATTCTTTATAATTATACTTAAAAATTTTATTTATTTCTTTTTTGAGAGAGGAGAATGGAGGGAGAAAGGGAGAGTATTATCCATATCTATTGGTTGCCTCTCAAAGGCCCCCAACTGAGAACCTGGCCCACAACCCAGGCAGGTGTCCTGACGAGGAATTGAATGGGGACCTTTTGGTTTGTGGGATGATGCCCAATCCACTGAGTCACACCAGTCAGGGCATTCTTTATAATTATTAAGAGACCTGCCAAAGTAGCACTTTTAGCACATAAAGACAACCTCATCTGAATGAAGTAGAATATGGTTAGTTGCTTATAAGAGGTTGGCATTTTTCTTAGCTAAATTCTGTTTTTATAGGGTTACAATACTATATATAGTACATATATAGTAAATAGATATATAGTAAATATAGATATATAGTAAATATATATACATATATATATAATAAATACACACACAGCAACAGCATGGAACTGAGCTCACATGCCAGCTATAAATAAAACATGCCTTAGGCAGAGAAGACACAGATTTAACAGAACTGAGTTAAAGTTCCTTGGGTGGAATATGAGCAGAAGAAAGTCATTTATACAAAATATAAATGTGAGTTGTATTATATGTAAGGTTAGTAACTGAAAAGATAATCATCTCAGAAACCAGGAGTGGAAGGAAGTGAGACAACAAGAAAGGACAGATGAGAGTGAGAGCAAAGTGTAAGTCAAATGGGAATTGACAATATATAATGTTACAAAAATACCATTTCCATGTTCTAAAGAAGTACTACTGGGTGGGTGGGGGGGGCGGGGGGAGAATCAGTAGCCAAAATTGAACCTTGCTCTGTCTGACACTTATCAATGCATAAGAACTTATGGAATCCAGTTTTAGTATTATGTATTTTTACATCATGTGCCTTCCTGTGCAAAATGGAAATATTTATTTTTACCCATTTAACCATATTGGTTGGATATGATTTTTTCTTAATGACTACTACAATCACTGCAAACATTATTTAAATTACATATATATGTATATGTGTATACGTGTACACCTACATCCACCCAACATCCATCCATCCATCTGAATGAGCAAAATGGGGACACGCTTCTATTCTGCTCACCTTCAGGTTCCCTGATTTTTCTTCCCGCTGCAGACTTCCGAAGTACGCTCCTTCCAGAGTTAAAGAGGCTAGTTAGCTCGTCCAGGGGGCTGCTGAGAGGCCTTGAATTCGGAGGGCTGTAGGGGACTGGAGAGGAGGAGTTGGAGTTGGTCTTCCTGTGGTCAACTCTAGCCTTCCCGGGGGAGTAAGGAACCTTGGAGAAAGAACTACATGCACCCACTGCTGGAGCAGAGTTTGGCTTTTGCTGCACTTTGGGCAGATCTGGGTTTGTGGTTGCTTTTCCCGGGTGCACCACGTAGGTCTCCTGTGGGAAGGCAAAGTGCCGGTGGGCAGCTTGGGCAGCCGCAGGAGGTGCTGGAGGAGGAGGTGGTGTGAGAGGCGGAGAGACTTTGTGAGACCCGTTAAACACTGGGAGGCCGGGGGACGCAGGTCTGTCACCATCCCCTTTTTGGTTTTTGGAATACTGGGGAGACAGAGGACTTGAGCCTTCGGACTGCACTGGGTACTTCAGGTTGGTTTCCAAGACTGGCAGTTTTTTCACCTCTAAGGGCGTCAAAGGCGATTCGTCTGACGCTGGGGAGCAGGTGACAGGGGTTGGGGGGAAAACCAGGAGTGGGGGGCGGTGAGGGAGCAGGTTGGGGAAGGGGGCTGGAATGTCGCACGTGTCTTTGCAGGGTGCGGGTGAATGGCCGCTAGGGTGTTCATCCTCCAAGGTGATGGGGCTCTGACCCTCAGATGGTAACAGGGGTGACACAAAGGCCCAGGCGCTGGTCCCCCGGCTACTGCTGTCCTCTGGGGGCACGAAGTACTTCATCTCTTCATACACTGCCTCCGCCTGGTCGGGGCTGCCAGTGCGGCCCACCATCTCAATGTAGATGGGCTCTGACTCAGTCTCCATCTCGGGCTCTGACTCAGAGTGCGCTGGGGCCCCAGGAGGCGCTGGGACTGCCAGCACGGCCCCAGGGGTGCACTGCGGACCTGCCGCTCTGCTTCTTGTGTTGGGGGTCCCCACCGCCCTGGGCCTGACACCACAAATCTCCTCAGACGACCCGCTGAGCTTGGTTTTGGGGCTTCGCTTTGGCTTCCGAGGAGGAATCTTCTTCATTGTGCTGTAGTCATCACTGTGTGGTCTGGGCCTGGTGAGAACTGAATGGGAGGGAGATACAAAGAAGTGATGAGAGGACTTAGCAAGACTCCAGAGCCAAACCGTCATGCGGACTGGGGCTAGCTGGGGCTGTCCTTGCCCACACAGCTCCTGAGTCCCCACTGATTGAGAGGCACAGGCCTGCATCCCTCCACCCTCTGGGATCCCACCTCAACCTAACACTTCTCAAGACTGCAAACGAGAAAGGGAGTTTCGACCTCAGAGCTGGAGGACTACTTCCATCACTGAAGGAAGACATTGGGTGGACCATAGGTGGCCCAGTATTGCCAGCCACCTGCAAAGTGGAAGGGCCTGTTGACATAGCTAAGTATCAGTGGTGTGCATTGCAGAGCTGGTGCTGGATCCTACTTAGCCTCTATTCTTAGGGTCTGATATAGATGTGAATCAGGCTGAACTGGTCCTCAGGATTTTAAGGATGAGGAAATAGAAAGCTAGGGAGAGGAAGCAAATTAGCTCATCAGTAGCATATGGATGTTTCTTGTAGGAAACGAGTAAGTTTAATTATTTAATTGTATAAAATGAACAAAACAAAATACCAACAAAACACCTACATACATGGAGAGATTATTATTTTGTTACAGAACTTTCTTATTAAAATGATTCCATGGGTGACTTTTACAATTAATCAGTATATGTGAATCCTTAACAGAAACACAAATTTAACAGAAAAGTCAAGTCTAAGAACGTCTAAAGTGTACACTTCTTAAGTTGAAAAGGTGGAAGATATTTAGTAAAACAAATCAGCTTAATATTATCAATAAGAACTAAATTTAAAAGAGGCAGAAAGACTATTTAGGTCTAACTCTAAAACATTTATTGAAATTTAAGTTTAAAATATTCCAAAAGACTTATTTTCTAATATAGTGTATTATACATATACATGTAATAGATATTTATTAAATAAACATAATTTCTCTGAAAGCTGATGTGCTAATTTAAGACAATCACAAGATTTACTGAAATATCAAAACTTCCCCCAAATTTTGAACTATTTTGCTAATTTGGTACTTTACTGTAGGAATCACTGATGTGAGCATATGTAATTTTTCTGCATTCCTGAGTTGTTTAAGGCAGCCAGGTTTTTTCTCACTGTGACTGCACATACGGCAGTAGTCTCTGTCCCCAGTTTGGAAGAGATCATAAAGTATCATTGTTAAGATTGAAGGTGTTTTTTTTTTAAGAGCCGAGTAGTATTCTGTTGTGTAAATGAGCCACAGCATTTTTATCCACTCATCTACTGATGGGCACTTGGGCTGCTTCCAAATCTTGCTTATTTTAAATAACACTGCAATGAATATAGGGGTGCTTATATTATTTCAAATTAGCATTTCAGGTTTCTTCTAACACGTTCCCAGAAGTGGAACTAATGGGTCATAAGACAATTCCATCTTTAATTTTTTAAATATATTTTATTGATTATGCTATTATACTTATCCCATCCCCCCATTATACTTTTCCCCTCCACCCTGCATACCACCTCCCACCCACATTCTCTCACCTCAGTTCATGTCCATGGGTTGTACATGTAAGTTCTCTGGCTTCTGCATTTCCTATACTATTCTTAACCTCCTCTTATCCATTTTCTACCTACCATTTATGCTACTTAGTCCCTGTACCTTCCCCTACCCAGTTCTCTCCCCTCCCCTCCCCCTGTCCCACTGATAATCACCCATGTGGTCTCCATTTCTATGATTCTGTCCATGTTCTAGTTGTTTGCTTAGTTTTTGTTTGTTTCTTTAGCTTCAGTTGTTGATAGTTGTGAGTTTGTTGTCACTTTACTGTTCGTAGTTTTGATCTTCTTCTTTTTCTTAGATAAGTCCCTTTAACATTTCATATAATAAGGGCTTAGTGATGATCAACTCCTTTAACTGGACCTTATCTGGGAAGAACTGTAACTGCCCTTCCATTCTAAATGATAGCTTTGCTGGATAGAGCAATCTTGGATGTAGGTCCTTGCCTTTCATGACTTTGAATATTTCTTTCCAGCCCCTTTTTCCCTGAAATGTTTCTTTTGAGAAATCAGCTGATAATTTTATGGGAGCTCCTTTGTAGGTAACTGTCTCCTTTTCTCTTGTTGCTTTTAAGATTATCTCCTTATCTTTAATCTGGGGTAATGTAATTATGATGTGCTTTGGTGTGTGTTTCCTTGGGTCCAACTTCTTTGGGATACTGAGCTTCCTGGGCTTCCTGGAAGTCTATTTCCTTTTCTAGATTGGGGAAGTTGTCTTTCATTATGTTTTTAAATAAGTTTTCAATTTCTTGCTGTTCCTCTTATCCTTTTGGCACCCCTATGATTCAGATGTTGGAATGCTTAACATTGTTCTGTAGGTCCCTAAGCCTCTCCTAATTTTTCTGAATTCTTGTTTCTTCATTCTGTTCTGGCTGAAAATTTACTTCTTCCTTCTAGTCCACACCATTGATTTGAGCCCCAGTTTTGTTCTTATCACTGTTGGTTCCCTGTGCAGTTTCCTTTATTTCACTTAGCATAGCCTTCACTTTTTCTTCTATTTTGCAACCACAGTCAACCAGTTCTGTAAGCATTCTGATTACCAGTGTTTTGAACTGTGTGTCTGATAGGCTGGCTATCTCTTCATCACTTAGTTGTATTTTTTCTGGAGCTTTGATCTGTTCTTTCATTTGGGCCTTTTTTTTTGTCTGGGATGGCCTGTTACATAGTAAGATGCAGACCCTTGGGTATTCCCCAGAGTGGGGCAACCTCTTTGCTGTGTTGTGACACTGTATGTGGGGGAGGGGCTCAACAGGGAACAATGCTGCTTGCTCAGCTCTCTGCTGGCTTTCAGTCACTTCCTTGGCTGCCTACAAGCAAATTTGGCCCTTCTGGTGCTGATTCCCAGATGGGTGGTTTTGTGTACATTCTAGGACCCTGTGGGTCTCTCCAACAAAAAACTCTCCTGTGAGGCTGGGAGTTTCTCCCATCACAGCAACTGCACAGTTTTTATCAGTCAGAGGTTTTGAGGCTTTAATTCCCCCCACTGGAACCCTGGGTTGCGTGGTCTATCTTGCTCCCCAGTTTTTCCTTCTGGTTTATCTGATGCAAATGTGGGACTGCCCACTCTGCCAGTTGCTGCCTCACCTGGTCTGCCAGCTGTCACCTTGCTTGCCCTGGTCCTCCAGCCACTACTTTGCCTCAAATCCTTTGTGTCAGGCTGCCTGTTTCCGTCCCTCCTATGGGTCTGGATGAATGTTTCTTCTTTAACTCCCTGGTTGTCAGATTTCCATACAGTTCAATTTTCTAGCAGTTCTGGTTGTTTTTTGTGTTTAAGTTTGTTGTCCTTCTTCTGGTTGTGCGAGGAGGCTCAGTGTTTATACCTACACCTCCATCTTGGCCAGAAGTCCTTAATTTGTTGAGGTAACTTCATACTGCTTCCCACAGTGGCTGCACCAATCTGTATTCCCACCAACACTGCACAAGTGATTCTGACAGGTGTCAGGTGTTATGTTATTGTGGTTTTAATTTGCATTTCTCTGATGATTAGTGGTGCTAAGTATCTTTTCATATATCTATTGGCCATCTGTATGTCTTTTTTGGAGAAGTCTCTATTCAGGTCCTTGGCCCAATTTTTTAATTGGATTATTGGTTTTTCTGGTTTTGAGTTTTATAAGTTATTTATAAATTTGGGATATTAACCCCTGTGTAAAGCAGGGGGTTACCTCAGAAAAATTAAAACTGAAACTGCCTTATGACTCTGATTCCACTTCTGGGAATATATGTGAAGAAACCTGAAACACTAATTCAAAAGAATATGGGCACTCCTATGTTCACTGCAGCATTATTTAGAAGACACAAGATCTTGAAACAGCCCAGGTGTCCATCAGGTGATGAGTGGATAAACCAGTTGTGGAATATTTACACAATGGAATACTACTCGGCCATACAAAAGAAGGAAATCTTACCTTTTGCAACAGCATGAATGGACCTGGAGACTATTATGCTGAGTGAAATAAGTCAGTCAGAGAAAGACAATTACCATGTGATTTCACTTATATTTGGAATATAGTGAATAAAGTAAACTAATAAACAAAATAGAAACAGACTCATAGATACTGAGACAAGAGTGACAGCTGTCAGAGAGGAGGGGGTTTGGAGGACTGAGTGAAAAAGCTGAATGGATTAAGCAAAAACAAAACAAAACAAAAAACAAAACCCTCATAGACATAGACAACAGTATGGTAAATACCAGAAGAAAAGGGGATGGGAGGAGGTAATAGAGGGAAAAAGGGGGATAAATGGTGATGGAAGAGACTTGAGATGGAGTGGTGAACACACAATACAATATACAGATAAAGTGTTATAGAATTGTACACCTGAAATCTATATAATTTTATTAAGCAATGTTGCCCCAATAAATTTGATTAAAAAAGAAAAAAAACAATAAGGCAAACACCCATAATTAAAGAAAAAAATTAAAGGCTTTCAAGTTAGATCTGGATTCAAACCTTGGCAGGACCATTCATTCATGCCATCACTCATTTAGTTATGCATTTCACCAGAATCTACTGAGACACAGTAGTGAATACAAGAAAATTTTCCCTCCCTTCCTCTGTTCTAGGGGGAGATATCAGGCAATAAAAAACCATAAATTAGACAAGTGAGTCAATTTTGTTAGAGCATGATGTGTCCTGTGAGAATGAGAAACAATAGGCTATGAAAGGGGATACAGAATTGTATGTGTGTTTGTGGGGGTGGCAGTGGCATAAATGACAATTTTTAAAGAGGTCTTGGGCAAATCTCTCTAAGCTTCAGTATAGTCATGCATAAAATGATATCAGTAATGACCTCAGAGGTATACAATAGGTAATGTAAATGAAGTGTTAGCTCAGATGCTGGCACATTGCAAACATGAAACAAATGGGAGACTTCCAAATGAGAGTGGAAAAGAACAAAGCTAATTTTCTAACTCAATAGACATCTTTGTAAGCCAGTATTCTACAGGGTTCCCCTAAATCAGCCAACTTTTAA